AGGGCGAATGAGCTTAAGCAAATTAAGCATTTCTTGCTTGCAATATTCCGAACCAATTGTTCGTTGTTTCGGAGAAAATTTGCTATTTCATAGGAAGAATACATTAGTTTTTGGAGCTTCAAAGCGAATGCGAATGAATTAATGAGAAATGGTAATGTTCGCGAATGATATTTGCATATTATTCACATATTTACGGCATATTATCAATTTCAAATTTATCTATTTTAATAAAATGTAAATGAATTTACTTTTAGATATGAAATAAAAGATTAAAATGTTCGATTTTGCCTATCAAAGAAAAGAATCAATTTTCCCTCTTTTTAATTTCCTTTTTACTCATATCTAGCATAATTAGAAATAAAGGTTTTATTTAAAATTTGATAAATTTCAAAAAAAACACAGGCACACACAGAGAACACATCAAGATTTATCCGTTTTCCTCAAGCTTTCATCTCATCATCCAAATTTATATTTAATTAGAGCACTTTCAATCAAATAAATTTAAAGTAGCTTTTTTTTTCCACATTTCATAAAGGTAGTATATTTAGTTGGAAAAAAGAACGGAGAAGCAGAAAAACAGATCTATTTGCATTAATTTTGACAATTAATTGGTCATCGTCAACGTCAACAGTTTATGCTTTATGGTATCTACAGTTAAGAAAATATTTTTGCGGGAAGTTACGCAAAAGAAAAAATGGATGAAAAAATAATTTTATGAACTTTTTCGAAGCAATAAAAAAATCTTGAAATAATTTCAAGTTATTATAGATTTTCAAATATTTTCCATCATTTTAGCGCTTAATTTAATGAAAAAGAATTTTTCTTTTTAAATCAATATGTTCACTTCAAAATAAGTCTTTCGTCCAAACATCTTAGTGCATTCAATTGTCAGATCTTTTGTAGATTTCCCAATGAATATTTAAGTTTATTTAATTCATGGTTTTGATATTGGAAAGATTTAATTAAACGTAATAACAAAATGTCTTTTTCTTTTAATCTTATCCATAATTATGAAAGTTCGAAGTGCTGGAAGATTGTAAAAATTAAATAAAATGAATTCAGCATTTAAGATTTTAATTGGAACACCTCTGAAGTTCGTTAATTTTGTCCATATTTTGGAAGAAATTCGGAAACTTGGATGATCGTAGTAGTCAATTCCAAATCTGATTTGCATAACCTAACAGTCCTAGACTAATGTGTGCTAATAAAGACGCTGCTAATCCTTATAATCGTGTAATGATATGCGCATATAAAGCCTGCAGATAGCAGAAGGACATTCTTCCTTTCTTTTATTCTCCAAATGTGGTGGATTTTTTCTGAATCGTGGAACGTGATGTCGATCAATAGCCAAATATCACCAGTGTTGTCGATCGGCTTTCTAAGATCCGCTGGGCTGATTTGAATTGGGTTGTGTTGTGTTGTATTGGGTTGAGTTGAGTTGGGTCGGGCTGAGTTACGTTGAGTTGATTTGGGTTGCGTTGAGTGGAATTGAATTGAGGTGTATTGAGTCCATAGCGGATTGTAAAATCTTTATTGACCATAATAATTTAGGCGATTTACAATAGGGTT